TATCAAGCAAAATTCTTAAAGATGTTTTGAATATTGTGTTTAGCTATTGTATTTTTTTTTGAAAGAGTTGTGTTTAGCTATTGTATAATACAATTATTCTACAAAATATATGTTTCATATGTTTTAACATGAATATTTAAAGTTTCATTAATAACTCAACTATAATTTTAAAACACATGTTAAAAATTATAAATATAATTAAAAAACTCTTTTATTGTCATTGTTTTTTTTAAATAATAAAAAACTTAGTGGTTAAATAGTGAAAAGAATTTGAATGATTAAACCAAAACAATTCAAAACTATAGTTATTATTTTTATACAACCCAAGTTTTTGTGTTACTCAAAGACCTTTTATAACTGGTTACAACATTTTTTTAAATAGAATAAAGTTTCAATAATAATTAAATTATATAAGACAAAATTTACAATAATTAAACTAAAACAAAATCCAAATTAGAATGATATTTATTTATCAAATTCGATCAATATAACAAAAAATCCTAACAAGATCGTTTATTTTATTTTTATATAAAAGTAAATTTTCATTTAACCATGTTTGAAACTTCTAATTTGTCCCCACAGGCACACTATAGCCTAGGCTAGTCTACTTTCAAAGGGCCCAGTAAAAGAAAGCCCATTAAGCCCAAATCAAAAACCCTAGATACCTACCAAACATCTCATATATCGCGCCACAGTTTTACAGCCTCTTAAACACCCACTCGATTTCGTCTGCAATTTTGGTATCGATCGAGAGAGGGAAAGATGCCTGCGGGACATGGATTACGTTCAAGAACAAGGGATTTGTTCGCAAGAGGATTCAGGAAGAAGGGTACCATTCATCTTTCCACTTACCTCAGAACTTATCACGTCGGAGATTACGTCGATGTCAAGGTGAACGGCGCCATTCACAAGGGTATGCCCCACAAGTTCTACCATGGCCGCACCGGTCAAGTCTGGAACGTCACCAAGCGCGCCATCGGCGTCGAAATGAACAAACAGGTCAAATCTCTCGTCCTTCCCACCTCTCTCTTTATGCGTATCTCAAGAATTTGATACTGTAGTTGCTATTTAAGATCCATCTCGCATTTGGGTTCGAGAGATCATTGGATGTGCTTTTAGGGTTTTTGATTCGCCCTCTTTTGGTCGATTTGTGATTTTAATACGTATCGATCATCCAGGTTGGTAACAGAATCATCAAGAAGAGGATTCATGTCCGAATTGAACATGTGATGCCTTCAAGGTGCAATGAGGAACTCAAACAGAGGATTAAGAAGAATGATCAGCTGAAGGCGGAGGCGAAGGCTAAGGGGATTGTGATCAGTACCAAAAGGCAACCACTTGGACCGAAACCAGGGTTTATGGTTGAAGGGACGACTCTAGAGACTGTAACTCCGATTCCATATGATGTTGTCAATGATCTCAAGGGTGGATATTAAGTCTAAAGCTTGTTTCAAATCTTTGTGTCAGTTTTGTTTTATGACATTGATATGTTTTATGTTTAATTTAGACTGGTTTTGTGTTTTTGTTGATTTATCAAGGATTTGGTTGAAACTTTTGAAACTATTTTCATGAAGCAGGTGTTAGTGTTCGTATGGATTTGTGTTTTCAACTTTGTGATTTGATTATTGCTTTGAAATCATTGAAAGTTGTGGCTTATATTGAAAACTTAATTAGTTTTGGATGTCGGATGTTTTCTCCAACATGATTATCTGACTATTCATGCTGAAATTTTCTTAAACATTTAACAAAATAGAGAAAAATACAGTTCTTGTAGATTTTTTTACAGTTGATAAGTTTTTAATGATTATTTCATTGAACCACAACCATTCGTTAGTTGATTTTTTGATATGACATTTGACTATAATTACCATCATTATACTAACTGATCGCCAACTTCAGTTCCATTGGTGATGTTGTTGGGTACAATATTAGTGGAAAATCTTTTAAAAACCTCAGAGTGGAAAATCTTTTAAAAAACATATTTTCATCAAAGTCTTAAAAAATCACTATATTATTTATTTATACGTTAAAATCCTTATATTTTTTAAAATGTATCATTTAAGGCATTGAGCTCGGTAATTCTTAGATAGCCGAAAATGCTAGGTGATTGATTCTCAATTTTTTGATTGTTACAATTCATTACATTAAAAATTTTCAAAAAAATATGAGCATTTAAAAGCACTAAAATAATAATATAATAGTTTTTTTAATCTTTTCATGAAAATAGATTAGGTTTTTTTGAGGTCAAAAAATCTTATATAAGAATTTCAGAAAAGATAAGGCTTTTAGGGCACTAAAAAAAATAATATAGTGGTTTTTTTAAGCATTTGATGAAAATACGTTTGGTTTTTCAAGGTTTTCCTTTTACAAGCTTTCTTTGTTTTAGCAATCTATTGTAATTCTCATGATCATGTAATAACTATGTTGTTTTAGTAATTCTAGCATCATTCCAAAGTTGTTTCAATAACCACATGTGTCTCGCTTTAAAACCATCTTGGTATTCATCCATTCTTTTATTGTACAACAGTATTTTCTTTATTTTAATAAAATGCTTCAAATCTCATAGTTATATGATGTCTATGTTAATATAGTCATTATTATAGTATTTCAAATCCATTCCAACAGTTAAACATACATAAAAACTTAGTAATCACTTTTGACATTTTAGTCTTCTTATCTTATTTTTGACCAATTAGTCATTTTCTTTCTTAACTATGTTTAACTCCATGTTATGTTATAGAGGGTGTTTAGCCATAAACTTAAAAAAATGAGCTTTTAACTTATTACCGGTTCCACACCGTTATAAGTTAAAATGAGTGTTTGGATAGACTATTTTTTAAAAACAATTTATAGCAGTGTGGAACCGAAGATAAGTCATTTTTTTAAAGTTACTAACCCCTAACTTATCAAAACTCCATATAGCATATAGTTGTCCAACACCTCTAGAAGTATTTTTTTTTTTTTTTTTTTTTTTGTCATTTTGGCAAACATTAAAAATGACTTATGAACTTATAACGTTATGACACCGGATAAGCTAATCCAAACAATTTTTTTTAAAACTTCGTTTTGACACTGCTATAAGTTAATAAGCTATAAATTAAAAAACTAAAAGCATTTTTAAATAAGTTTAACCCTCATAGTCTATAAATGCACTAATAGTGTTTTAAACATGTATTGATACTTCGTTCATAGGATCTTTTAAATCAATTTTTGTTTCGAGGTTTTATTGATACTTTTCTCATTAATACCAATAATTAGATTTCAAAATATCGCTTAATTTTATCATTTATGCAACTTTTGACAATTTGATCCGTTAAAATTTTCAAAAACATAAAATATTGTAAAACTCATTACTTTTCATCTACTTTGCTTCTAATGTATTCCCAACCCTTTATAAATATCATTCCAAATCTATAGTATATTCACTTGCACCTTTATGTGCTAAATATATAAGTTTTTAGTTTTATCTTTGTCCGGTTATTTTTAGGATTAAACAAAATACATTTTTTTCTTGAACCCAACTTTGTTATTTCTTTCATTCTTGTATCATTCTAAGATAAGGAATCATACTAATTAGGTTTTAGTCATTTTCCACTTTTAGTTTCATGTCTAAAATGGTCATTTTACCAATTTCAAGTCTTTTTCGTCAAGCTTTAAGTATTGACTTCTATTTACATTTTTTCGTACTTATTGACCATTTCCAAATTCACTTACATTCTATCGTACATTCAAATATTCTACTTTACATATTTTAAGAATATCATCCTACATTGGTTTTACCCATTTCTAATCAATATTTGCATTTAACTTGTGCCAATAAGCAATTTTCCATCATTCTTTTTAACGTACACGTTGAAGTCTTCTTTACCAAAATCATATATTCAAACTTTAAGTACACTTGTAATCGACCAACTTCCTTTATCTTTTGAATAATATGTACTAATATGCATATTAACCTCATCATCTTCATCTTGCATTTCAAATTTTAATTTCAATTTCTTAATACATCTGGATATGACTTTTTTGTGCAGATTGTGAAAAAGAATAACCAATGGAAACAAAAAATCGTATGTCCCTAGAACTACAAATAATGATCTTCTATATGTTAATGATAAATAAGATGTAAAAACGTTATTATAGTTATGAAAATATTATTATGGTAATATATAAAAGTAATTTTCCAGTCATGTTAGTTATGAACTCTTTACATAATATGCTTAAAACACTTCAAAGTGCAAACTATATTACTTGATTCTTACACTTGAATAATAAAAAGTAAATTCAAACATTGTCTTTTACAGCTCTATTATAGTTTAACAAAGTAATAAAATAAGTGGAAAAAAACTATCGTTTCAATTTTTGTTCATATACATTACAAATGACTTGTTCAATATGTTTTCCATTCGCTAGAAATGGAAATATTTAAGATCTGGTTGGTCTTAAAGAGGTCTTAAAGCAACAAAGCATTTGAAGATTTTATATCCACGTGTCAAGAGACATAACAAGCATCTGCCATTTGTTTGATGAAGCTTACAAATCACATTGAAACTAAAGGGGAAGTGAGTAAGCACAAAGAAAAGAACATGTAATTATTGCAATCTTAAATGTTTGACAAAACTAATTCTGTTTTTATTTATTTATGTGTACTATAACATCTTACTTTTATTTATTCTATTACAATATTGTATTTTAAAAATCTACCTTATTAATTATTATAACACTCTACTTTTATTTAGTTTTCTTATTAGAACATTATATTGTATAAAATCTACCACATTACACATTGTTATAACTTGATAGAAGTTGCTAAAATAAATTTATTATTGAGATTAAATATAAAGTTTTCCAACTATCATTTACTTTAATAAAATATTATTGGATTTTAATTCTAAAATTCACAATAATCATTTCAAAAACACACAATAAAGAGGCATAGAATAAAGTAGAGGCTTACAAACTGTATAAAGAGAGGAAACAAAACAACCCTTTATAAACTAACGCATACATAACATACCTTCCTTAAGCCTAACCATCAAACCTCAAAATGAAGACATCAAAATCAAGCAAATTTCCAACACTTTTGCTTATACTCCTACTCTTTTCAGGTATGATTTCTATTTTCTCATTCAATTATAGTAATTCCAACATAAATCAATTCTTTATTTCTTCATTTTATTTAAAAGAATATATATTTATTTTGAGATGAATAGCTTGTGCAACCACAACTATGGTGTTTGGTGTTGCTCATGGTATCAGAATCCCGGAGCACGTGTGCAAAAAGACGATTAGCATGAGGAAATGTGAGGTGAGAGGATGTGAAGATAAGTGTAGCAAAAAAGAGCCATTTGGTGTTGGAAAATGTAGTGGTAATATGTGTATATGTTCGTATTATTGTGAGTTGCCCCCAATGTGATTATGATTATGATTCTTGACGTATGTAAGCCTTCCCATTCTAGAAATAAGGTCTTTGATCTATGTTGAGAGCCAAAATCTTCTTCTTGGTTGTTTTTTTTTTTAATATTTAATCTTTTAAAACATTAGATATATGCATCTTCACATACATCAAATCAACTTATTCACAAAGATGGACAAAAATTATGAGGAGTACCAACTGCTATCACAAAGACTAGTTTCTACCCGGTTCTGTAAAATTAGGTTTTATGAACAAAAAATACGGGCCTTTTAGGATCAGATCGGTTCGATTCCAATTGTTTTTATTTTAATTTGTATATAAATCTAATTTCAATTTTTTTTTCATTTTATTTGGTTTTTCTAGGACCAAAAGCCTAGTTTTAATTCAAATTGGTTTTCACATCCGGCTGCTTTTTTGATAAAAGTCTAAAATTGAAAAAAAAAATATGTAACCGGTTAAAAGTCACCAACAATGTTTGCATTTTCATCCTCTACTAAACATAATTATAACATTATTTCAATTATGAATTATATAGCTTTCTTATCATATTTAATACATTAACTATTTATAAACTAGTCGTGAAACTCATATACGACATGAGTTTATTAAAAAAAAAAACTATTTGAAGATCTAAAAATTTAGAAAGTTTGAATTTATAAGGAAAAAGAGAAAAATATTTAAAGTGCTCATTTAAAAAAAATAAACGAAAATTTAAATAAATAAACAATTAAAGTAATGAGAATCAATTTAAAATTTTAAAAATTATAAGGAAAGTTACATTAATGAATTTGATATGCAATTTATTATTATTTTTATTACCTTTAAATATTATATAAAATCTAATAAAATAAAATAAAAAACCACAAAATTAATTAGATTAAATTTAGAAATTTAAAAATTATAAGGAAAATTGTATTAATGAACTTTATATGTATTTATTATTATATTTATTACATTTAAATATTATATAGAATTTAATAAAATGGAAAAAACCCACAAAATTTTGATATGCATTTATTATTACATTTAAATATTATATGAAATTAATAAAAGAGAAAAAAAGCACAAAATGACATATATGGATATAATTTAATCTAAAATTACCACAAAATGACATATAACATGATGTATGAGAGAATGACAAGTGGCAGAAATGGTCTTTTTTATATTATATATTTATTACCATTAAATATTATATAGAATTTCATAAAAAAAGAAAAAAAACCACAAAATTTTGATATGCATTTATTGTTATATTTATTACATTTAAATATTATATGAAATTTAATAAAATGGAAGGAAAAAAAACACACAAAATGACATATATGGATACTAGGTGTAAGACTCATGTATTACATGAGTTAATTTAAAAAAAATATATAAAGGTCTAAATATTTAAGAACTTTAGATTTATAAAAAATAAGAAAAATAATGAATTATTAAAATTGAATTTTTTTTATCTTTTAAATTTAAATAAATAAACAAAATAAACTAATGAGCTTTAATTTGGGAATTTTAAAACTTTTTATACATGTTTTTTACAACTTAATGAAATGGATATTTACTTATTACTACATTTATTGTAATTATTATATTAAACTATTATGTGGAATTTATTAAAATAGAAAACTCATAAAATGACTTGTGGAAAAGAAATTAATTTAAAATAACCACAAAATGACATTTAACAAATTGAATGAGAGTGTGACATGTGGCAAAAAAGTTTTTTATTTATTAGGCAGGATAATTTAATCTAAAATTACCACAAAATGACATATGACATGATACATGAGAGAATGACAAGTGGTAGAAACGATTTCATTTATATTATACTAGGTTTAAGACTCATGTATTACATGGGTTAATTAAAAAAAAGTAAATATAAAAGTCTAAATATTTAAGAACTTTGGATTTATAAAAAAAATAAGAAAAATAATGAATTATTAAAATTGCTTTTTTTTTATCTTTAAAATTTAAATAAATAAACAAAATAAACTAATGAGCTTTAATTTGGAAATTTTGAAATAAGAAAATAAATCCATTAATCAAATTGATATTCATTTATTACTACATTTATTAAAATTATTACATTAAAGTATTATGTGGAATTTATTAAAATAGAAAAACCCATTAAATGACATGTGGAAAAGAAATTAATTCAAAATAACCACAAAATGACATTTGACAAATTGAATGAAAGTGTGACATATGTCAAAAAAAACCTTCATTTATTAGAAACTAGACGAATTCGTGCGCGTTGCGCAACGCAGGTTAAAAATATATTGTTAAAATATTGAAAAATATATGTTTAAAATTGTTATGTTATTGACATTAACTTTGAGATAATATTTTTACACTAATTTATATATATATAATCTCAAATATTTTGAACAATAATATTCATTGACATCAACCCACCTTCCTCATTAATAGAATTAAATATAATTATCTAT